GGTGGCCTTTATAGCATGTCAGGCCCCCTACCTCCACCCCACTGCCAGGTCACCCAGTTATTGTCCTTTCCAAGGCCTCACTATGGCTCTGAGAAGACCCTGGCCCAATTCTTAGGCTGGTCTAAGTCTCTGGGTAGGGTAGGGTAGGGACTGGCATTCCCCAACAGAGTTGGCTATGCCCATGTCACAGATCAAAAGAGTCCGAGAGAATTCCAGACTGATCCCAGCTTTCCTAATCAAGATTAGCTTTGCAAGATCTGTGAATGTGTCCAGGCCATTGCAGATGTTGCTGTGATTTAGCAACATCTTCCAACATAATTCCAGAAATGTGTCTTGTGCTCTGATCTTCTGCAGAGTGCTGTGCTAGGTGGTTAATAGGGGTACAGACAAAAATCCCTTCCAGCAGATGAAAACCACCAACTCTGTTGGCTCAAAACCCCTTTAGGACTCCCCACATCTACAGCTTCAGGTCTGTAGTCAGTGTGGAGTTTAGAGCCTGTCGTCTGCGTGAGTCTGTCTTTCCAGCTCCTGTCCTGTTGTCCTCCCCATTCCCCGTGTGTCGGTTACTGGTGTGCATGTCACTCTCTATATCATGTCCCAACTGGTGCAGTGAAACATTTTTGAAGGCCATAATGGTGTTCTTTGCATAATTACTCTATAGCTTATTAAACCACTCCCTTATGGATGGAATCTACTCTTATGGCAATACTGTGTGTCTTTGGCCCCTGGTGGGCTGATGTGCAGAGGAGTCTCTTTAAGACCTACCTCCAATACCCCTTTTCCTCTGCCTTCAGTTTAGAGGTGCTGGCCTTACAGCACTCTTTCCAAGAGCCCTGAGGGCAGGGATGGTACCATCCCTTCCTCTTCCTTTTGACACTTGCAGCCAGTTACTGACCACCCAGGAGTTTAATCGCACTGTGGTTTGTATCATGCCCATATCACCCTTTGTGCTCCCTCTGCCAGCCCTGGTCCCCTTTTAGGGGCTGTGGTGGGAACGGAGCTGGTGAGAGCCAGCAGGCCCTTAGCTGCCTCAGTCCGGCTTTTCTTTGTGAGCGCTGTGTCTGGATGGGCTGATGTGTTTCCATGGTGATAGACTTCTGCAGCATCGTTCTTACTGGCCTCCCACTGTTTCACTAGAGGGATGGGCTATAATATAGCCAGGCTCCTCTTGCTGGGTTTTAAACAAATTTAAGAGGGTAACTGCCTGGGTGTCCATTGCCCAGAAGAGAACTTGGATTCACAGGCTGCCCATGAAACTAAAAGCAGCAACTACTATTTGCTGAGCACTCTTTGCAAATGAGCTGGGCCCTGAGCACAGAGCTTGAATTCTACTTCAATAGGATATGATGCCCTTATGAGCAAGCACTGTTGCCTCTGTTTTACAGAGGGAACCTGAGGCGCAGAGAGTAAGTCACTTGGCATAGGTTCTTCAAATAGTCTGTCTCAGGAGATGGGCTCCCAGCTCAGATGTTCTTCACTCAGGACCACAGCTTGTAACTACAATACCTACCTGCCTCCTTAGAGGAGAAGGAAATAGGGGCAGAGGAGGGGAGTGGAGGGGCAGGTCCCTCCCAGGCCTTGTGCCAATGGCTGGCTGCCCTAGAACTGAATCGAGGCTCACGCCCAGAAAGATGATGGCTGCCATCAGGCCTTTGCCACCGAGGCAGCACAAAGGGCCCCTTTGAAGGCTGAGTCCAGGATCACCCCTCCTGGCCTGCTCCGGAGCCAAGCATCTAGGGGGCCAACCGGCATTTCTGGCTCAGCTGTTTGGCCAGAACTTGGAGGAGTGGTCTGGAATTCCTTCCCTGAACAGCTCACACTTGGTTAGGATGCTGTTTCCAGATGGGTATGGCATTGAAGTTGTACATCAGGTCTCCCAGTGCAGCCTGGCAGTCTTCAGACCTTGGGCCTTCCTTCCTGAGCAGCCAGGCTTTGGAAATGTATTGATTTCCCTCCTCCCCTTCCCTGCTTCTGCACTTTGGATGAACCTTGTTTTTGAAGAACAGTAGAAGGTAATTTTCCTGTGCTTGCCAGCTGGCCCATAATTGAGCAATTTCAATAACACCCACTGTAAAGTCTAATCGAAGTAAACAGGAAAATATGATTTACAATCTGGATGGCAAGTAAATACCAGGGTGCAATTAATTTTTACATAGAGCAGCAGATTCTAAAACATTTTCTTACGCCGAGCAGTTTGTTTTTAATTACAGATTAGGGACTGCCTTTCCATTTATTACTATTGTCATTATTTTCTAGTTTTTGATGGTGGCCTTCAGATTCCTTGTATAATGACAATGCCTGACTTTCTTTGAATGTTTAACCACAGAAGGGTGGGACAGGGAAATAGAATCAGAGAAATTAACTTGTAAGGAGGAGTTTTTCAAGCCTGAACTAAAGGTTGTTTGCTTCATGGGAAATAGTGGTAGGCTGGGAGGAGGTGACTGGCTGCGTGGAATGGCGATGTTGGGGTCCTGTCACTGTGGAAAATCACTCAGTGTTTCATTCTGGAGAATAGGACAAAGCTACAAATGCTCCCCCTGTTGCAAATTATTGATGTAGAAAGGTGGCACTGACAAGAACAGGAAATGTGTGGCTTTAAATGGAGCCTTCCAATTAGCTTCTCTTCATAACTGGGTGGGGAAGGAGAACCAGTGTGCCCACTGCAGGTCCTCTGCTGCCAGCCCACTGCCTTAGTGCTGCCCCCTTCAGTTTTGGACGTGGGGATGAGGTGTGTTTCAATCCTCCACCCATCTTTACTTGTCCTGCTATGTGCTGAAGGTTCCGGTCATGCCAACTCAGTGGTGAGATGTCCCATGTCTTTTGTTTGTTTTTTTGCTTATTTTGAGACTCGGTCTTGCTGTGTAGTTCAGGTTGGCCTTGAACTCACTATGTAGTCCAGAGTGGCTTCGAACTCAAAAAGATCCTGTGTCAGCCTCCCAAGTGCTGGGATTACAAACCAGCCAGTCAAGCCCTGAGATAGATTTAAAGGCAATGTGGTGTGTGGATGTACCGAAATTTGTTGTTCCACTTAATAGGATATTGATTTAGGGGTGCTCAAAGCTGGCAACAGAGGTTTAGGGGGGCTTCTGAGTTGATTTTAAGTTTCTGTGACCTTCTGTGCCTTATTTAGGAAGGAGGTTGTTCCTACAGGGTCCACAGAAGGGTAGGGGGCTGTTATCTCGGGGTCTGTGTCTTTCTTAGTCCTGAACCCCTTTGCCTATATTTTGTCTTTCCAGAGAGTTGACCACGCTTGGCCATTTCCTGGAGGGGCCCTGTCCCAAGGGTGAGGGACCCATGGGCAGCTGTTTCTGCTGATATCATTCCCCTGGGGGTACCCAGGCATCACTGCTGCCCAGGTCTGCCTTCCTGAAGATGGCTCCTGCCCACCGTGGGATGCAGCCCAGCACCTGAGGTCCTTACCATGGTGATGATCCTAAGGAGAAGCCTCGCCAACCAGGGAGCTGACTCTGTAGCATGCAGGACCCTCAGCCCTGAACTGGTGAGGACTAGTGGACTTTATTTCTCTGATGACTTTCTCTGAGGCCTGACTTACAGGTGGCTATAGATGGTGCATCCAAGCTCAGCAAACTGGTTTCAAAGTGCCTGAGAGTAGAGCCCTGTGAGATGTTCCAGGTCAGGGTCATGGGGCAGTGGGGCCTAGAGGTTTGCTGTATACCATAAGAAAGAAGCAGCCCGGACAGATTAGCGCTTATCTGGTGAGGGGGGAGGTTAAGGCCATTAAATAATACCAAGCATGGTTCAGCTACCCTGCCAAGCCAAGCCCCACATTCCTTTTATCTCCACCTGGCAAGGGTAGGTGCTTTCCAGAAGGGGGCCTGCTTGGTGGCCAAGATAAGGACCTATCTCCAAAGGGTGGTGCCGAACAAGAGCTGCCATCTCAGGAATGTCAGGAGTGGGAGATGGGGGAGAAAAAAGTGCAGCCTGGTGGCCAAGGTGGCAGGCTATGGGGACAGATACCCTCTGTTCCAGTTATCGTCTGATCAGGTAGTGGTGGTCTCGGGCAGTGAAGCAGGTACCTGAGCCTTAGACTAGGAGCAAAACAACCTTGTCCAGTCCCCTTCTAAGCCCAGTTCAGAAGTGACTGGGGCTCCTCCCTTGTAGGAAAGTCACACTCAGGCAGAAATATCCTTCATGAGGTATGCAGCTGGTTATGTGTTTGAATTCTACAGCTTCCATGGCTCAGCAAGAGGCCCACAGCCACCTAATCTTCAACTGGTCTCCCTCTGGCATCCTTCACAGCCCCTTATGAGGACCTACACTGAGCACCCTTGCTGGCTCCCTTTCCTGACCTCACTCCAGTCAAAAGCGTGCTGAGCAAATAGATCGAGTGCTCTAGCCCTGGCCAGAGCTTGGGAAGCCACTGAGATCTGCATCCATTCCATAGGTCTTCACTGAGCACCAGGCGTGTGTCACACATGGGCTGGAGGAATCGTGACTCAGAGCTGAGCCTTACCTTCCTTTCTCACCCTCGCGCACCTTCCAGTCTAGTGGGGAGTGGGTTATCTGGACCATGGTAACTCATAGCTGAAGCTCTTATGAGCTCTGGTAGCCTGAACAAGTGGTTTGGCTTGGCCAAGGCACATCAGAAAACCCCAAAGCAGGAGCAGCAGGGGGGCCTTGAAGGATGTGCAGAGCGGGTTTAGAAGTTACTGGGCCTAGCCTTCTCATTTTATGAGCATAGCAGCTGCAACTTGGGGTGGGCCACGAGCTGCTCACAACTCTGCTTCTCCCTGCCTGCCAGCCTCGGCTGCGGGCCCGTTATCTGGACACCAGTCACTGTGGCTCTTCCCTGCGTCCTTGGCACTCTCCTTCCCTGCTCTGTTTCGTTGCTGATGTCTGTGATCCTTGCAGCAAGGAGGAGCTGCTGTAGCAGTTCAGATGTCTGCCATCACTACTGCCTTTCCAGCTTGCATTGAGCACATCTTGTTATCCCACTGCCACCAACCTTGTCTCAGTTGCTGGCCTCCCACATGGATTCTGTGGTAACTGGTCCCCTGCTCCTGGTTCTTTTAACTTTTTCCATTCAGTGGCCAGTGGGAATACCCGTCAGATCTGTCCATCTTCTGCTCAAAGCCTCCCGCTAGCAAGCAAATGCCTGGGATGTATAAGACCTGCCGTGACCCCTTTGACCTCACCCTTGTTGCCCTCTTTTACTCTGCTGAAGCCACACTGACCTGACTGGACGTGGCAACTGTGAGCCTGCCTCAGGGCCTGTGCTCTTCTTTCATGACCTGGCACACTCTCCCATTGGCACATGACTCTCCTTTTTGTCTACTTCCTGCACTGCCTCTGTCTCCCTGCATTTTGCTCTCTACACATGTTTTTTTGTCCTCTTTCTCCATCTCATTTCTACCTTAGACACTTACCACTTTATATAAGAGTTACCTGTTTGTTGTGTTTATTGAGTGAATTCCATGCTGGGATGGGGCTTCATGAAGCAGGATGTTTTGTCCGTTTTGTTGTTGCTGCGTACTTGGTGCCTAGGACCCACCTGCGCCTCGTGCCTAGTAGGTGCTTAGTAAACATCTGTAGAGTGCATGCCTGAGTAGGTCAATGTTGCCCGTGGCTTATAGGTTGTATCATTTTGGTCCCTTGATGACTGCTGTGTAGAGCGTAGCTGTGGGGATGGGGTGCACATATGAGCTGCTTTGTGTATTTGTCGGTGGTTACTTTCTTTTCCTGTGGAAATCTGAAGAATGTATCAAGAGTAGCCCTGACCAGAAGAAGCAGCCTTAGGGCCAGGAGCATCTGGAAGCCCCAGGGAGGTGCCCAGTCCCTTCTCAGGGTGGGACTGGTGGGTTCAGCCATAGGCCTGACTCCTGCGCACATGGGCTTGAGGTGAACTGAGCTAATTTTCCAGAGATGTGGCCGCAGCCCCTTCCAGGAGAGCATGGCCTTTCAGCCCCAGCCAGGGAGGGAAACTTGTCTTTTCCGAAAAGAAGAAGTCAAGGGAAATAAACAGGCTCGCTGGAAGAGCCTTGGCCTGCATCACTATCATGTAGATTGGGATCATTTTTTTCCCACACCCTGCCTGCCTCCCTGGAGAGTGTCCTCCTTTCTGTTGCTTCTTGTTACTGGCCGATACAGACCCAGAACCACCTGGCACAGTGCTGTGGGCCCATCTGTCTCCCCCTGCTCCCCTTCCCTGCTCTGCTCCAGATGGCAGCCCAGTGTGGGAGCAGCCCCTGTGGAGCAGCCTGTCTGTGGGTTGGTTGACACGGCACATGCTGGCTCTTGGCCATGTTCCGGGCCTGGCTCAGTGCTGCTTACTGGAAGTGGAAGCCCAGTGTGGGCTCACAGAAAGGTGCTAGGGCTGTTAGGGATGTTGCTCACAGAGTCCAAAGCCTTATGCCACCCATCTCTAGCCCTCGTACAGACAGGAAACTGCAGTTCAGGCCTGGGTAGCGTTGTCTGGTACATAGCTTATAAGCAGGGCATTAGGACACAGACTTCAGGTGGGGGTGCCTGCTCCTCCCAACACCTTTTGGCCTGGCCTCAGAGGCTATTGCCATTTCAGGGCTCCTGCAGGTCTCCTAGAAAGTTCCACAGCAAATAGCTACAAAAAGACAGTGCAGAATCTCAGGCCACGATGTCCTCCAGGACACCAAGCTTCAGGGTTGCCTGGTGGCAATGTGTACTGGGAACAGCCAGCAGAGGTGCAAGGGAGGCGATGGGCTTACATCCGATTTTATGACTTGTCACCTCTTCCTTGTGTAAATACTGTCCTTTGAAGATAACAACAGAAAAGAAGGAAAATAATTTCTTTTGTTTTCCAGTCAGACCAAGAAGAAAACAGAAGTGGAGAGTTAAGATTAAAAAAGAAAACACGATCCTGGGGAGGCTGGGAAATGCTCCAGCCCAGGCCATTTGGGATCCTGGGAGCAGGTCCCCGAGGCGCAGCTGACCCTGGGCCCTGAGCTGCTGCTCTTCACAGAGGCCCCAGGGGAAAGTCCCAGGACTTCTGGGAGTCCTCAGTGTCAGGCGTGCTGGAGGAGAGCCCGCATTGTTGCCCTGAGGCCTGGTGAGGAGCAAGAGTAGCAGCTTCTGTCCCTGCCTTTCTAGTCGTCCTTATAATGACTCATTTTCCTTTCAAAAACTGGTGACAGTGTAAATGTCCCTGCTGCTGGGAAAGATGTAGGAAAAAGAAAAAACTGATGAATGCTCAGCACTTTTTCTTTCTGAGCACCAGGGCCCCCATGTCAGCAGAGATGATCCAAGGGCACAGGCCTGACCCCCAGCCCCAGCTTAGCTCATATAGTCGGCAGCCCTGGCTCGACTGGCTCCCCTTTCCGCCTCCACCGAGTCACTTTCCTCTGCTGAGTGGGTTCTTCCTTCTGGTGTTCTAACATTAGCTGCTGCCACTGGAAAGCAGCCCAGACATTTGACCCTGGAGCACTGTGCTCCTGCAGCTCCTTCCCCTGCGCCCACGTGTGCAGGAGGGGGTGGGTGAGGGCCCTTCTCCTGTTTCCAGAGTGACCACCTCCTTTGGCCAGGCCTGGCTTTCTTTCGCCAGCGAGTCTCCCAGCACTCTTTCAAGCCTGGAGACCAGAGGGAGCTGGCAAGCGGCTGCTGTGGGGCAGAGGGTGCTATGTGACTCCAGGTTGCCTGACTTTTCCCCTAGCAACCCACACAAGTGTTTTGGAGGCATTAATCTGGTAGGTAGAATACATACTTCCTGCTGTGCTTATGAGATTAGGATGCCAGGGCTAAGATACTTGCCAGTCTGAAGGGCTACTAGCCATGCTGGGCCTTGTACCCAGCTGCCTAGGCACTGAACGTCTTCATCCTCCTGGTGATGCCAAATTGTACTTTGGGCACAGCAGCCCAGCCAAGCTCCCAGGCAGGCCATGGCTGGCCTGAAGTTAGGACTAGTAGTGCCAGTAGAGTCTGAGGAAGTCTTATACCCCTTCCCCCAGGCAGACAGAGATAGTGGGGATCCTGTACATGTGCACCTTTGAGGCCTTGGCAGCAGGGCTGCAGGATCTCCTATTAGTTTCTTTCATTCTTTTGTGGTACCAGGGATTGAACTAAGGACCTAGTGCTTGCCAGGCAGGTGCTTATGCCACTGAGCTATCTCCCCGGCCCCCCATTAGTTTCCTTGAGGGTCTCTTTCTAGGGGCACTGCTCCCTTCTCAGTGCCCCTCAGCCTGGCTGTCCTGTCTGCTTCCTCCTGGTATGGCTCTGTGCTTGTTCCCTGTGGCGTGTGCCTGCGAGTTCCTACTGTGGTGTGGCTCCCCACAGCCTGTGTTGGGAGAGGGAAAAAGCACCCTGGTTGCTTTGGTCAGTAATCTGCAGAAGAAGGTTTTGCAGAGTACTGTGGTTAAGGCCTGGCATTTTCTGCACCGACTAGTTCCTCCTGGAGAGCCTTACTTGTGTCTTTATTTAAGTCAGACCTCTTTTCTTTAGTCAGACAGATGGCACTGAAGTCTCAGTTGGGTTTCCTGCTTTTGTCTTTCCTATAAGGATGTCATTTCAAAAACTTCTTGTTATGGGAGGAGTCTCACAGAAACCAGACCCTGCTCTTGGAAGCAGAGGGCCTGAAGACAGAGGGTTCAGAGGGAAGATGTAGTGACTTCCTGCACTGCAGACCTTCAATGCGTTAGGTGTGTGCAGATAGCAGTCTTATGAGCTTCAGGGGCAGGAAGTTCCCTTGGGGTTGGTGGGCCTTAACACACAGCGGATTGCTCCTCCTCTTGGTGTGAGTGCAGAGGGTTTGAAGGACAGGAGGGGATGGCTGAAGGAATGATGCATACCAGCGGGAATTTTATCATACTCTGGGTAGACTGGGAATAGAAAGGCTGTGGTCAGAGTACAGCCCACTGGGGACACCTGCCTCTTGCTTTGCCCATGTAGAGTGGGGCTTAGGGAAAGCTGCCAGGGATCAGGGTTTGCCTGGGGTCTCATGCCCTGGAAACTTTTGGGTAGAAGATGTTCTGGCCGGCTGCCCCATTTCTGTCTCACAGATGGGGCTCCGAATGCAAGATGGGAGCCTCTGATCCTCCTTGAAGGCTTGAATGAAACCTGTCTGAGTTCCTCATTCATGACAGGTATGTCTCTAGGTAAATCACACCAAAAGAGCCATGGCAAAGAGCTCAGAGGCCTGGAGAAGAGTTGGTGGGGCAGGGCCCAGGCAAGAGCAAACTTTGGAAGCAGGTGCTCCTGACGTGTCCCTTTTAGGTGGGCTAGCATTGCACCCCTTGTTTTAGGAATCAGAACATCAGCCAGTCATTGTGTGGCCAGTGAGCCCTAGTTTCCGGTCCACCTTGTACCAGAAGAAATGGAGGTACTTTGATGAACAGTATCACCAAGGCACTGTCCAGTGAGGGAGGGGAAATATTCCAACGTGAAATTGGGGTTGCTGTTAACAAAAGGGAGCTGGATTAATGGGCTGTGCAGTCTCATACAAGCAGTGAAAGGAGCAAGATGGCTCACTTTGTTTTTTTTTTTTTTTTAAATGTATTTAGTACAGGGTTTACAGGTTCTTGCTACACAGATTGGACTTGTAGTGATCCTCCTGTTTTCAGCCTCCCAAGTGCTAGGATTACAGGCGTGTGCAACCACACCCGTCTCAATCACTGTTTCAGTGTACCCAGGGGCGGGGCTGGCACAGCATGCCAGGGATCAATCTCCGGTCCACTGAGCTATCTGGCCAGCCCAAGATGGCTCAATTTGAATGAAAAAAATGGAGAAGGTAGTCTTTTAAATGGTAAAATTTCAGTGCAAACCATCCCTGGTGTGCTGGCCCTCTTGAGCTGGTAATTGGAGGCAGGCATGGAGAGTTTAGGCAGGCCTGGTTGAGTGGGGCGGCCTTGCCTCTCCCAGTTCCCTGCTGAGTTTTGGCTTTCCCTGGGCCCAACGATTTGGGGAGGCAGTACTTTCTGCCCAGTGAAAGCCCACTTCTGTTGCTGAGCATCCCCTGGATGTATGGGGTCAGGATGTATGGGAGCAAATTGTACAGAACCAAGCTGCCTCTTGACAGGTGGCCCTGGCCATGGTGCCTGCTCTGTGCTGGACCCTCATGAACAAGAGAGCCCCTTTCCCTGGGAAGCTCCACTCTCACAGAGCAGAGAATATATGCAGACACAAGCACACTGACCTTGCTGTGTTTTGTAAAACAAGGTACACATGAGGGGTGCCAGAGAAAAGCCTGTAACAGAAGAGTAATGATCTACTCAGGATGATCAGGGAGAGCCACCAAGGAGCTCACATGATAGGAAGGACAATGCGGAGCCTTAATGTAGCAATCCTGGGACAAAGAACCTAGGTAGCAGCACCTGTCAGCAGGGGTGAAGAGGACAGACACTAGAAGGTGAGGGAGCTTGGCGTTGGCTCCCATGGGGATGTAGGGTAGGGAGGGGAGCCCTGGATTTTATGCTGGTTGCTGTAGGAAGTTGGGCAGGAATGATAAGGTTTGCTCTCTGCTTTAAAAAGATGACCTTGGATTCTGGGTGAAAGGTGGAGATCAGTGGTCAGGGATACCCACAAGGAGACCAGTGGGGGTCACATTTGGTGGTGGCTTAGACAGGGAAAGTGGTAGGACAATGAGAGTGTACTCCTCCTGGGAAGTGATGGGCTACTTGGGGATCTGCAGTGGATGCGGATTCCTTGTCGAGTGAATGAATGCATGACTGGGAGACTAGGGAGCCCTGGGTGCTGTAGGCCATGGCTCAGGCTGACATTCTTCTGCATCCTTGTGAGGTAGCTGGTGCCCATTGATGCCCACATCTCCTGCACAAGCCTGGATCAGCAGTGCCCTGAGTTGCGTTCTGTTAGAACCTGCCAACTCAGTGGGATGAAGAGGTGGTGGGCACTGTCCCACCAGCAAGGCAGGAATTGGCCGTGTCCTGTTTCTGTTGTAAAGCCCAAGCCCTCTAAGGCACCTGCCTACCATTAAAGCAGCCTTCCCTTCTCTTCTGTTTTCAGTGGTCCCTATTATGGTTTTTGGCTTCAGTGGGCTACCAGCCAGGGAGCTTTCAGCCATCTGACCCCCCCAGGGCATGTAGGGACTGTGGCTCCCCAGTGAGCACTTTTTTCCTTGGGGCTGGGTGCTCCCTGAGTGCTGGAGTTTGTCATCCTTGGTAGGCAAGGCACCTGGCAAAGGAGAAACAGTTTCTCTCTCTCTCTCTCTGAACCGTTCTGCTGTGAGCAAGAGACCTACCCAGTGTCTATAGGCTGTGCCCTTGGTTGTGAGTAGCTTAGCCCCAGGGATAGGCTCTCGTGTGTGTTACCTTTCCTCCATTGGGTGACTTTGGTGTTGTTATCAGTTGTATATCTTTTGTTGTTGTTGTTGCTACTGAGGAATGAGCTCAGCAAGCTTTGTGCTTGCCAGGCAGGCGTTTATGCCACTGAGCTATCTCCCCAGCTCAGCTCTGTATCTTGCAGCATTAACCAGGTCAGCTGGTAGGGAGGCAGGTGCAGCTGTCTTCACCTCTTTTCAGATACTGTCATGGGTGGCTATTATAGAATGGATGGTTAGTTACATTGTTGGAATCCAAGAGTAACCTGGTAACCTAGCCTGACAGTGGGGGTGTGTTACCCTGAGGAGGGGACCCAGGTGCTTTGGTACACACCTGTAATCCTAGCTCTTGGGAGGTTGAGGCAGGAGGACCTCTGTTAGCTTGAGGCCAGCCTGGACTATATGATGAGTTCAAGGCTGGCCTGAACAGCATATAAGACCTGTCTCAAAAACCAGAAAATAAAGAACTGAGGAGGGGAACTGGAGGAGGATTACCCTATCTAGCTTCTTCTGGTCCTTCACTAGCAGGTCAAGGGTACCCCCTTAAGCTGGCCCTTACCTCCTCCCCCACCACAGTACACAACCCCTGGACCTCTTCAGCTTCAACTCTGTCTATAGTGTCATGGTTTTCCTGCTTGACTGCTCTCCATGAAATGTGAACCCTCCTTTACATTGCCCATGCACTGATTAGGATGGACCTTTAAAATCTCTGTGGGATAAATGTGTTGCTGTCCAAGTACAAAGGTCTCCAGATTGGGAAGAGACCTGGGGGAGAGACCTGCGGCCAGGTGCTTGCCACCCTTTCTATCTGGGTGGGCCACGTGTTCCTAGTCAGCTCTACCCTCTTTCCAGGACTTAATGAGCCAGGGACTTCAGCTTATAAACCTTGCTGTCATTGGGGTGAGCATGGTGCTGGGAGCTCATCTCCAAAGCTGGCTGGTCTGTCTGGGCTGAGAGCTGCTTTCTACTTTGCAAGATCCACCCCAGCACAGCCTGCACACAGATGACAGCCATTCCTGTCTGCTAAGTGAGTGGGTAAATGAGTAAGGGGCCAGTTAGTCTTTAGAATGTTTGAGGCAGACCTCCCTGGGTTCCTGATGGGGAGCCTCCCCACACTTTCAGTCAGAACAGTCCCACTGACTTAGATGTCAGTGAGCATGAAGAACTCCCAGAATCCTCCATGCTCAAGATTGTTCTTCAGCTGTGGAACAAGTGCCTGGCATGTGGGCTCCTCCAGGCTTCCTGGGCCTGGTCTTTACTCCATGGCCATAGTGTTAGGCTAATCTGGGCAAGAGCTCTGAGGAAAATGGAGATGCTCACAGTGGAAGGGGAAACTGTTGTGGGAAGACAGTGCCGAGGAGTTAGTGCTAAGGTTGAGAGCAAATGGAAGCACCAAGTTTCTGTTTCGGTTTAGAGGGGCCTCGCTGTAGCTGCAAAGCAGCTGTGAAGTACAGACCAGCATTCCCCAGCCTCTCATTGCTTCCTGCAGAGAAGGAAGGGCTAGCCTCATTGCCAGCCCAGGGAGGAACCTGGGGTGGGGGCCCCCCTCTGCTCTCCACTCCCCAGGAAGCCCCACCTCTGCCAGCTTGCCTCCAGCTTTGTGGTGCAGTTGGTTCAACGCTCGCCATCACACCTCCCCCACATCACCTATGTGAGACATCCTTGCATGGCAGAAGTCGCAGGCTGTCTGTGTTAAGTCTGTTCACTTGAGAGATCAATGACTCGCTGGAGACTTGGAAGAGTCTGGGCCAGTCCCGTGCAGATGCTGTCTCTCAGGGTGCTCCTTTTCTTCTGTCCTTTGCCTCTGCAAACGGCAGTTCTCCCCATCATTGTGACTTTAGCAAGAGACCAGTGCAGAGTCATGTGCAGATGTGCTTCTTATGACTTGAAGAGTGAATAGCTTTTCTGGTTGTTTTCAGCACACGCCAAAGAAGATGAGTCAAGGACCTACCCTTTTCTCTTGTGGAATTATGGGTGAGTAAACACGTGGCATGGCCATCCTCCTCTAGTTGCTCCAGCCAGGTGAGACATGGAAAGCTCTTCCAAGTGCCCGAGGGCACTGGGGACTGTTGCCTGTGTTTCAACTATTTTGGTCCCTAGTGCTCCTGGCCTGGTCTGGGGGTGAGAAAGTGAGGGGACAGGCACTGGTATGTGGTTCGCAAAAGGCATTTCCAACACTAGCCTTGAGTATTTCTTATTAATATAATTAATGGTGATATTTTTGATTTAGGAAATATACCATAGTATATAAAGTAAAAATGTCTTACAACCCCAATTCCCAGTGTTAGTCCCTCTTGATATTATCATGTATGTTTGTTTTTGGGATTTTTTAGCATAGCCGAATCCATGATGAACATATAATTATATAAAACCATATTTGTTTGCTTTTTCATTTGCTAGTTACCACAGCATGAAAATTATTCATTCCATGCATTTTAATGGTCTGCATTACTGTATTGTGTGGATGTATCAAAATGGTTACTGGGCAAAAAGGGCTGTTGAATTTGCTGCTGTCATTAACAATGACTTTTTTGTACCGGGAATCAAACTTGAGACCTTGTGCTTGCCAGGCAGGTGTTGTGTCATTCTAACAGTGACTTTTGTTTTTTCTTTTTGAGAGGGGGTCTTGCTGTGCAGTTCAGGCTGGCCTTGAGCTCACTTTGTAGCCCAGGTTGGTCTTGAACTTGCAACCATCCTGCTACCTCAGCCTCCTGAGTGCTGGGATTACAGCCATGGGCCACCACGCCTGGCTCTAACAGTGACTCTAGAAGTGTCTGAGTCTCAGGTTTTGGATTATGCCTTAGGATAGTTCTCAGGGACCTTTTAAGCTTTTTAGTTTATCTTGCTAACTTGCCTCCCAGAAAAGGTACCTTAATCAGCTTCTGCTTTTGTGCACATCTGAGTTGTCATGTCTTGTAGGGGGCAAAAAGGAGTGGCTTTAGTGAGCGTGTGGATTTATTGATGCTCTGGCTGACTGGGCACAGTGTCTCCTGCTGCTGCCAGCCCATGGCTCTCCTGCTGTGCTGGGGTGTCCTGCCAGAAGAGTTTCTGTAATGCCTATGTTGAGTCAGGCACCAGACCTCGGTGGTGGGTGACTATAGTGGGTGTTCAGATTCACTGTCTCTGGAGAGGACATGAAGTCATCCCTGCCTTCCTTTCTGAGTCCTTTGCCTCTATGTCCAGTGTTTTCTTTTTCTTTTTCCAAGGCTTTTCCTGTAGTTGTGGTGATAAGTAGAAGGGCGTGGAGTCTGTTGAGCACTATGAGTGCGCAGCTTCAGGGCCAGAGAAGTTCTGGGGAAACTAAGATCCTGTGAGGTGATCCTCCCCGAGGTCCCTTGAGAGGCTGAATTGGACTAGGTAAAGGAGAAGGAAGATTTTCTTCTCAGTCATGTGCCTCAGCTCTGAGAAAGCTGGGCGGTCCTCTTTGATTCTGCCACCCCGAGGAAGTGGAAACAGGGAGATCACCTGGCCTTGGTGTACCATGTGACACACTTCTGAGGCCTGTCCCCATATAATTGAGTACCTCCTTGGTGGTTAACGGCTTTCAACCTCTCTGCACCCTAGCACATGGCCCGGAAGCCTGCTGTGTTGTCAGCTTCCTAGGACAGCCGTATGTCCGAGCTGCCTTCCTTTGTCATGCCAGAAAAGAGAGATTTCTTTAAACTCACAGAGTTCAGCCTGAAACTGAGGTCAGACCAACCTGGGTTGTGGGCATTAAGACTGTGCGTGCCCAATGCATCTCTGGCCTTTATACTTTGTGAGTCATACTAAGGCGAACTTTTGTGGAGACCAGGGAGATAGCTCAGCAACACAAGCATGCTGCTTAGCAAGCACAAAGTCCCAGGTTCAATCCCCAGTACCACAAAACAAAAAAAAAAAAAGAAAAAGAGATAGAAGGTGAACCTTATGGCTTATGGGTTTGTGGTGGTTGTATGGCAGTGTTAGGGCCATATAACCGTGCTGAACTTACATTTTTGAGCCTCAGTTTTCTCATCTGCAAATGACAATTGTGATAGCAATTGTAGGTTTATTGTGATAATTCTATGACATAATATTTATAAAGAGATTAGCACCGAGAGAGCATGCCATAAGTAGTAGTTAAAAAGAAGACTGAGACCTAAGTTGAGGCTCCTGCTTCCTGAGAAGAAGCCTCCACATCTAAACAAAGGGAACACTTCAATCTTTCCTTTGGAGCGAGAGTACAGATGAGAGCTGCCCTTATAGTGGATCTGGCTTCTGGCCAGGGGACAGGCAGAGGTTTGGAAGGAGGCTCAGGTTCTCCCAGGGCAGTCTGAGGGCATGTGGTTCTTAGCAGCCTGATTTCTACTGGAGGAGGCTTGCTTTCCATTAGGGAGGCTTGCGGCCTGCAAGAAGTCCTGGGCTGTGTCTCTTGTGGTCCGTTAGGAATTGCTGTTTCCATCCCAGGGCCTCACCCTTGCTCTTCCTTTTTGCAAGGCCCCCTCCTGCAGGCCAGCACCAAGGCCCTACCAGTCAGCCACAGGAGGTACTGGGCAGCCAAGCAGGTGGTGGGGTCAAGGGCATGCCCTTGCCCTGCCCTGGATCTGTCTTCCTGACATGCTTTTTTCTATTCATTGCTCAGACCCCTTGAATCAGAAGAAACCTGTCCTCAAGGAAATTACTGCCAAATGGAGGGCAGAGCTGCATGCAATGATTTCCCAGTGGTGTGGGCCGCCTTCTAAGATGCAAGAGCCCTTAGAGCGATGAGAAAATTACTCTCTCCTGCAGTGCCTCAGTTTCTTCCTCTGGGCCATTGTAGATGATGTGGGGATTCAAAGAGATGGCAGTACCCCAAAAGTACCCATTCTGGCCCTTCCTTTCTATCCTTTTCTGGCACCTACTGAGGCAGGAGCGTCAGCTGCCCAAAGCCTCCCAGGCCCTGTGTGTGCTGAGGGAAGCTCGAGTTACCACTCCAGCCCATTTAACCTGTGAATTGAGATTTTGTGCCCTCCTCTGTGCTGTGCAAACTGGGAGTGCACCTTAGACACCAAGATTTCATCTCGGGTGTGGCTGCTTTTCAAATAGCGTGGAAGAGAACACCCTGAGGGCTGGCCAGACTTTTAAAGAGGGTTTTGGGCCCTTCCAGGGTTGGACAATGCTAAGTAAAGATAAAGTGCCAAATTATTATAATCACTAAACGCTGGTCTGTCTTCTGGAGATAAAGGGCTCAAGTGCTGGCCCCAATCAGTGGGACTTGCCTGTGAGAGGCTGGATCTTGTTAGCCGCTAATCCTATGTGAGGGCCCTAGCTGGAAGCCCATATGAATCTGGGTTTCATAAATGCTTGAAAGGAAGGTCCACTAAGCGCATTAGGACCAGGAGCAGAGCGCTGCATTCTGTGCCACTGCTTCTTACGTTGCCACCTTTCCAAATGCTTGGGCTTCCTTTCCACCCTGAGATAAAACACGTTACTGATACCATCAAGTGCTCACGATGATGGCCTTTGTTTTGTTTTCAAAGTGCTACCTGTTTTATGATTTCAAGGTAGGTACTAGTCTTCACCTCACCTTTGTCTCCTACTCCAATTTAGAAATTTGATACAAAGAAGTGATTTTGTGCTTTTCCAGATTGGGGGAGAGAACAAAGTCAGGTGAGGTGTGAGGGGGACACTCAGGGCAGGGTGGGACCCAGCCCTGCCCGCCTGCTCAGTGACCAGCTAAGGGCCCCTTATTAGGGTGCCAGGCCTGGTCTGTGCTGCAGGGCCCTTTCTGGCGGAGGCCAAGTCTGCCCTCTTGGCTTTCTTGCTCACTGCCTGGCTCCTCACTAGCCCATCTTCTGTGCTGGAGTGGAATTTCCTCTGCAAACAGCTTTTCTGGGGAAGAGCTATGGACCTGCCGGTGTACTGTGCTCTTGACACTGGAAAGGTGGGTCAGGTGGCAGCTCCATGGCATGGTCCACCCAGGGTCAGCTGGCTGGGCAGGGAGCCAGACCTTGCTCCCGACACTGGCCTCCAGTGAGCACAGAGCGCAGTCTCCTGTGTGGGTGAGGCGAGGCCTTCATGGAGGCCATTGTACACAGCACCTCTGAATACTGTGCCATTTGTGGTGTGAGATGCGTCTCTATGCTGACTCTGGGGCCTATGTAGACTAGTTCACCCATTTTTAGTGAGGCAGGGCAAGTCGGGTGAGAGTAGCTCCATTCACCACTGTCTTCTAATTGCAGCTGTTAAATGGGTTCTGTGCTATGGGACCAGCGGACGCCGCGCATTGCACTGCCTCACTGCTGAGGCAGGGGGAGAAGACCTGAGAGCACCTGAGATGCAAGAGAGCGAGGGCAATACCAGTCTTCAGAAAGGCCACTAGGAAAGCGTCTTATAAGTACAACTCAATGGACAGAACAAAACAATTCATATGCTGCAAAGTTGGGTGGAAACCCATAATTACTTTTAGGAGTTATGGTAATAAATTATTTATTAATGTAAATTATTTCACACGCAAAGAACATAGAGGAAATGAGCAGAAGGATCATACATTATGTATAAAAAGGAATTGTAAAAATATTATAGCCGCTCTACTTGTGCTGCTCAGTTCAGGTTTGTCAGCATTTTAATTATAAGCCCTTACTTTCTGTGTTTAATTACTTGGCTGTAAAAGTCTACCCTGTACATAAAAGGCTTGTTCCCAGGGGCGCTTTCTGGATGAACTTCTACGGGGAGACCAGGTGGCTGTGTGGAGCTGCGTAGGACGAGACACCACATGGAGACTTGGTGGCTTTCAGTCTTTTAACTCAGGCACTGTTTGTCATTGAAAGTAGAGTGTAATTGCACCTGTGTGAAGAAGCTGGACTCAGGGGCTGTCTTTGGTTTCTTAAAAACAGTCGAATGAATCAATGAAAAATAATATGCCATCAGAGCTCCTCAGGCCTGATTTTTGGTCCTTTCCTCATTTTTTTAAATCTTTCAGTGATAACCATTTTAAGGGTTATGATTGGACCACAACCTCCTGTGAGAAACTTCCA